GAGTTAAAATCTTTGTGAAGAAAAAAAGTCTTTTTGCAATCATTTTGAATTAAAAAGTGACTTTCCTTTTTCACAAGATTTTTGGAGGAGACACTATCCTCCTTACTCATTTCCAAGAGTAGTGTCTTTTTAGTATTAAGAAGGTAAAGAGGTTGTTCAACTAGAAGACATTTTTTAATAGAATGTTTTATTAAAAATTGACTTCTAGGAACAACTTCCTTGGAGGAGACACTACCCTCCAACTCTAGAACCTTCTTTTTATCCTCTTTTGTTTTTTTTTTATTTCATAAATACTTGATCCTCCAAGACTTGTGAAGGTGAAAGAGGAGTCAAGGTATGTTTCTTGCCTAGGTGGACTAGGCAAATTTTGTTTGTAATACTATCATGAATGGCCTTCCTATCATGTTGCCAAGGCCTTCCAAGTAAAATGTGGCTTGCATCCATTGGAATTATACACTCACTACAAAAAAAATGTTAAATAATAGAGGTTATTTTGCGGAGGTTTTAAAAACCTCCTGTAATTATTAAATTAGATGAAAAAATTACAATTTTGTATTTAATTTACGGAGGTTTAAAACCTCTTCTAATTAAATAATATTTTCCCGCTTAAATCCCATTTTTCTCTAAAATAAAATATTTTCCCCCTTAAACTACCGCGCCTCCCTCTTACAGAAAATCAGAATTCGTATTTGTCAAAGAAATAGAAAACCCTAAACGAAGTTTGACGTTTGAGTGGCCTCCGTGTGAAGAACATTTGTTTCTTTCTCAGATGATCCTTGCGTAGATATAATCATGCTGCACTGCGGTCTTTCAAAAGGTAAATGAAAACCCCTTTCTCATATGATTCAACGTGATTGCTTTTTCCCTTTGGATTTGAACCTGTGATGGATTTGTCTTTTCGGTTCCCTATCACACACCACCAGAATAACAAAATCTCAGATAACCTGTGATGGATTTGAACTTGTGATGGAGCTTTTGATTATTTTTTTTATATATTTTATTTTCTTATCATTTCAATGATGAGGTTAATACCTGAGATTTGGTTTTTTGACGCCTACCTAGCATTTTGTTGTTGGGGTTCCTTTTAGCTGATTCCCTGCCAAAATCATCAAAACTGCTGAGAACTGACGTGTATTTTTTCTTTATTTATATAAAATTATCAGTCTTTTAACACATCACTATGATACGTACAATTTGGATGAAGAACATTACATGTAATTGATAAATTGAGAAATTATAATACAGGAATTAAAAGATAAAAACTAGTTTAAACTAGTGGATATGAGACTATAAATTAAATCAGTATTGTTGGATGAAACGCAGTACTAATGATTTTACTTCTTAATGTGGTCCAAATAACAAAACTAGGTTGTACTTAGATATATTCCATTCAATTTGACTCCACCAAAACGATTAAGTGCCATAAAATGACTAAGTTTACTCATTTTACCCTCTAAAGTGTGTTGCCAAGTTTAGAAAAGAATTCGTTCAATGATTAAGAAAACAGAACTTAAAGGATTTGTCATGTTCTTGTGTGTCACTAAACAGAACAAAACGGATAAAATCCCCCTATAAAATAACTTAATGCATTTTTTTTATTCCTTTTTCAACACAGTCCACTCTATACTTAAGGGTCAGGATTTGAACTTAAACAACTTAATTAAGGAATACAACCCGTTGCCACTTATACAAATGAGTGTTGGTATAAACTAATGCATTATCAAGATATGTTGAGAGCTGAGGAATTTACAAGATGATGAAATTATTCTTAACAAAGTATATATTATGGACCTAACTCAAATATATAAAATCTGCTTATAAAGTAAACTTTGCTCTCTAATTATATACTATGTTTTGGTAGTATCAGTGGCCGATGTGAAATCTGTATGAAAAAGTAAACAAAATTATATATATTAACCTGAAGAAATCCCAAGGAGACTGATAATCAGAAGGCAACTCCAAGAGACCATCTTTGGCATAAATGCTTCTATAGACAGGTCCTACAGATGGCTTTCCATCATCAGTTGCAGGCCTTCCCTCCTCAACCTTCACAGTGTAAACCTCTGGCATGTATTCCGGAATGGAATGTGCAGTGTGTGTTTTAGAACTGTGTCTAGGGGATGATAATTATAATGATTGGTGATTTTAGTCACAAGTGAAGTTGTTATTTTGGCTGGTAGAAGCAGATATGTGTTTTGGCTTTTGAATAGAAATTTGAACAATCTATATTCATTCAATGATGCAGGCCTTATCATTTCTCACTATTCAGATTCTTGAGCTTAGTGGGGCCTTGTTTTTATTGAAGTATACGACTAAGCCACAATACAAGTTGTCAAATTTCTTCGAAAAGAACAATTTATTGAGCAACAGGAGCTGGTTTTTGTCATCTGTTCTTGGATTTGGGTTTCTTGTTCTTTTGATTTTCCTAACATCTCTACTTGCAGAAAGATTATTTGGCTCCAAGGTTGGTGATTATATATATTTTTTTTGGTAATTTCTTGTCATTTGCCTAGAAAAACAATATAAACTTTATGTCTAGCAGATTTGTCATAATTATTTTCCCATTATTCTTGCAGCTTGCATAGCTTTCATAGTAGAACAATAAGTAGCACCATTTAACTAAAGGGGGTTGTTTTAAGGATTTACAGAATGAGTAGTGTTTGCAAAGAATAGTTTCTGAGAGTAAACAACAAGCAAAGGTTAAGGTGAATGATGGAACGACTGTGAAAATTATGAGATTGGTCTGTCTGAGATCCATAAGGATGACGCCCTGAGTTGTGTGAGATTTATAGGAGATTGGGAATATTTATATGAAGGGAATAGATAATTTGTCTTTATTTTACAAATGCCTTGTCATGCTATTTTTGCATAGTTTACTTGGAGCAGCGCATTAGCTGAGGTGGTGCATGCTACGACTTCCTCATATCTTAATGATGAGTCAAAGGAGAATGATCAAATATTTTGGTTGCATTTGTTAATCGAGAAAAATAGTATTTAAGGAGAGGTATTGATCAAACTAAATTTCCTTAGTGTAAAATATTATGTTTATTTGGTATTAAAAGTGTAAAATATTTTAATACTTATAATTTTAGTTTTCCTAATAGTCAGTTTTTTTTAAAATATTTTAATACTTATAATGTTCTTCATGTCTGTATAATCTCTTGCTCTTGGTGGAATATTTGTGTGTCATATTTATTGTATCATGTCTATATAAATATATGTGTTTATATTTGTTTGTATTTATATGCATTTATTAGTACTTGCTAATTTTGTTAATTAGAATCTACTCGGATTTTTAGTATGATCTAGCCCAAATCACAACCTACCAAACCACTGAATTAATCCTTACCCTGCATACCTACCATGACAAACGAAAATTAAAGGGACGAAACCGATAGAAAATAAATAAAAAAATATTCGGTTTAGTTATTATGTCTTTAGAATTACTTTGATGTAATTCAAGTAGTTTATCACCTTTGTTCCTTAATTAAGTACCATTTTACTTTTATCACCTTTGTCTTTAGAATTATTTTGTTGGTTCATACTCTTTAGTTGCAAGGTTTATATGATGATTTTGCTGTAGTTTTTGGTTAGAATGGTAGTTTTGTTGGTTCATGGTTGGCTCCATGGTTTGTTGCATGATTTCTACTGCAATTTCTGGTTTGGTTGGTTGCTTCGTTGGTTTATAATATTTGCCTGCATGGTTTGAAATATGATTTCTATTGCAATTTTGGTTTGGCTGGATGTTTTGTTAGTTTAGTTCTAGTTTTGGTTGTTCAGAGTCTGAATGGACTACTCTCAGTCCTTGGTTGTTGGGTTGGGAACTAGTTGGCTGCTACACATCTCTGGTTTGGTATTGCTATTATGGAGATTTTATTGAATATGTTGAAAAGAACAAAAAATAGGAGAGACATATCTCCTCCAAGGGTTTCCCCTTCACAAAGGATTTCTCCTTTCACAAAGAGCTAATGCTCAATTTACAAATGTGAACAAATCTAAATCCTCCCCTCTGCCAAGTAACCTCCTATTTATAGATGTGATGGGCCTAGCCCATGATATCTTTCTAACTAACAACTATTCTAATTTCCTTTATTCAATATCCTAACAAAAAGAGTGATAGATAACTCTTCAAACCTTCTTTGTCTCCCAAGATCTTTCATCCATGAGGTGCATTGTTGGAGAAGAAACTTGAAAATGATGGAGAAGGCTAGGAATGGTGGCACCAATTCTCAAGGAGAAAATAAGGCAAGAAAGTGACTCACCACAAGGAAAGAATCTTTGATAAGAGTTACATATGGAGTTGCACTCTATGAGAGGAACTCAAACTCTTGAAGTTGAGAGAAAACTCCCTCATTCTCATAAATGTTCAAAAGTGACATATATGGATGCTCTCATCTATATATAGAGTTTGTTAGCTTGTGGTACAAGTTCAGCTAATCAAGGTTAGGTGAACCAAGGTTAGGTTAACTTGTACTTAAGTCAACTAACTATGGTTCTCAAAATTTGAAATTCAAATTCTAGGCGCCACAATCATCAGATCTAAACTATCCATTGAGAGCTATACAAGTGGCATTGTGTGGATGGTGTGATGATGGGTGTGGAAGTAAGAAAGGTGGTTGAGAAGCAAACATGCAAAAAGTGAGACTAGGTATTAAATATGTGACTAGGTAGGTGTTGTGTGAAGCCAATAAGAGTGTGGTGGACTTAGAAGTGGACTTCCACTTCTAGGAAAATACTCTCTACTATATGTTGGCCCAAATAAGCCCAATTAATACATTTTCCAATTTCTAGTTGTACTCCCCCTAAAATATTAAAAACACTCCTAAAGAAAAAAATTACAAGGAAATAAATTCCTATTCTAATTAATCAAAATACAAGGTCAAAATAAAAGAGTTATTTACAAAGAATATATGAACTACAAAAGGTAACTCAAAGCTCAACATGAACTTGGGCCTTCCTCCCTTAGCTTAGCTCACTCCTCTTGGTTCTTTTTGGACTTGATCCTTAGTCATGATTGCATCACTATCTCTCTAACAAATCTGCCTTGCTTTCTTGGACCATCCTTCCCTGTATCTCTTGAAAATCTCTTTAGCTGTCTTGCTTATTCCCTGCATATCTTTGCGCATCTTCCCCATCTTTGGTGCTACTTTAGTGTTTTGATTTACTTTGTAATCAGTAATCACTGAAAAAATGGCTTCTGCTGCACAAGGTGATAATGGGCAGGGGCTTGTGGTTGTAGTGCAGTGGCTGGTGGTTATTTATCTGACTAATTATGAGTTGTTTTTTATGTTATGTTCATGTTATTTCAGTTTTAAGATTGCGCTAATGCTGTTATTTGTAGGAATTTTCCCCTATTTTCTTTCTGTGTGTATATTAGTATAATTTTATATTTTGGTAAGATTTTACGATCCTTGTTACAATCTTACATTTTACAATTTTGCAATCCCTTCCCAATCCTAAGAAGAACGTCAACCTTAACATTTTTGCTGACCACAAAGACATCAAACTCAAGTTTTGCTAGATTGTTAGTATATATAACTGCATCAATACAAAACACGTTCTTTTGACTAACATGCTTGTTCAGTTCTCCATACAAGTGTGATTATGTAGCTTGCCTTACCATCATATTTCAAAATTCCTTTTTGTTTTATAACTTATTTTCCTGTTCTGTTCATTTTGCAGGACAATCCCATTTGCCTGGAATCTCATTACAGCTGGTTATGTTGAACAATCTGTATATGGGGTATGCACATGCTGTTTTTTCGAACTCACTATTTATTGTATTACCTGAGTAGTAAATCTTTCTTTTAAGAAAAAAATTCACAATTAACATGGTTTGTACAATTTTATAGGTAGTGGTCAACACACTCGGTCTCCTGTTTATTGGGAAGCTGCTTGAACCAATATGGGGTTCCAGGGAGTTCTTTAAATTCATCTTTGTGGTTAATCTTCTAACTTCAGTATGTGTATTCATCACTGCTATTGCCTTGTACTACATTACGAGGCTGGAGACTTACCTGTATGTATATCAAATCCATCAAAATTGAAGATGATATTTTCTCTCTACTGCTCATGATGATTTTGTCTTTTTTATCTTTCACTGTATTTGAGTTCTCCCTTTCCCACACCTTGTGCTGCACTTTAACTCTCCAATTTTATTTTATTTATTTATTTATTTTTAAATTAAAAGCTAAATGAAGGTCCATTTTAAGTTTGATTACTTGTGCTCTGTTGGATTTGACTCACAGAAAACATTGTGGTTCTGGATATCAGCTAAAACCTATAGTAATAATTGAAACAGAAGTTTCGTTTTGGTGGTCCCCAAGATTTGCAAGTTACTTGTTTTCTAGGCTTATTCGTTGAATCTTAAGAGGCATTCAATTTTCTATTTCTACCTTGAACAAATTCTTTTGATTTTAATACTCTCTTTCAATGTTTTAGTTACTTTCCAATTTCCGGATTTCATGGAGTTATATCTGGTTTCTTGGTTGGCATCAAGCAAATTATACCAGATCAAGAGCTCCCTTTTATCAAGATAAAAACAAAGGTTTGATACTCTTA